TGCACGTATATGCATGTGAAATAATGTTCGTGTTTACTACTTACATGTTCTCACGTATATATATATATATATGCATATATGTATATATATACATGCACGAGCCTTTAACCCTTAGCCCTTGGCCCTTTTAACACTTTCATGATCGTTACGCCGTGCTTTGGATCGTGGCTATAGTATTTTATATATATTATATATATATGTATTCGTATTTCAAGTAGAGAACAATATTATCTTTCAGGGTACGAGATTAAGGGTTAAATGGTAAAACGATATCAATTTCATACATTTCTTTAATTTCAGGTTTAAGGTAAGTGTGTTCGAAGCCACGATTCGGACAGGATCGATGATTTTGTGTCACTGTCAATGTCTCATTTACGGATGATGTCGTGGATCTTGCTCGTTCTTAAAAAAAGAAACGTAATATTTTTTTTTTTCTTTCATGAATATAAAATGAATATTTATATACGTCAATCAATTAGTTTCTAAATTGACACCGATTTATATATTCTTTTAATAATTATTATAATCATTAATACTACTTTTACTACTACTACTACTACTATTATTATTATTACTAAATAATTTGATTTCTTTTTTTATTATTATACGAGAAAAGAGTTCACGTTTTCACACACACACACACACAAACACACATACGTCTATAAAGACGAAGACGAACTCGATCAATTTTGTGCTTTCTGAACGAGAATTGTGTAAGTCGCCATGCTTGATATATATATACATATATATCGTTTATCCTTTTTCTATTCTTTTTTTTTTTTTTTTACTCTTTTTTTTTTCCTTTTTTCTTAATATAATCATCATTACAAATACGCGTTCACACTTCGATTCGATATTTCATATTAACTAAATCGTGACAAGGTTGTTTGAAATAATAAAAAAAAGCGGTTTTTTTTTACGAACGACGTTTCTCTCGTTTCGTCTTCTATGATAAATGTATAACTACTAAACGAACAAAAAAAAAAGACATTTTTAAATAATGATATAAAATATTGCAACAGGAAAGAGATTTAAAAAGAGAGAAACTCGAACTTGGAACGTTGATGATTCTCGCGCTCGTTTTCTCGCGTGGGTTGAAAACAAATGGTGGGGGGGGGGATTTTTCGTAGAATTTTTTTTTTTTTTTTAAATACGATGAACTGGTACGTGTGTAATTATAAAGCAGTATATATATATTATACTTCTTAACATTTTAACGGGCGTGCGTGAAAAATCTCAAGGAAATGGATGACGACGATTGCTCATCACAAGTGTGGGTTTTGTCGAAAAAAAAGGGGGAAATGGGGGGATCAGGGAGGGGTTGGGGTGGGTCGATGGGGGCGCGGTGTTAAAAAGAAGAGAAAAAAATTGTGTTTAAATTTCGTCGTACCGTGTTCGTCGAATTCATTTTTGTATAAATATATACCTATACATATAATATAGTATATATGTATATATATATATATTTATGCATACAGATATCTATGTATAATGTATATAATTATAATACAATTATGTGTGCAGTACAAATGTATGCAAAAAAATTATACATATGTATATATAGTATATATATATATATATATATATATATGTATAATAATAATAATAATAATTATATACATATAATATTACGTTTACCTCGAATTGCATGCTTTAAGTGTCTCCCAGAATGCTCAGTGTTTCCTTCTCGTCATTTCTCTTTTGTTAGGCCTCATGTACGTATATACATATATAGTATAACTGAAGAGTGTTCTACGTCCTTTTCCTTAACGAGACATCAGCGTGGGAGTATAGCACAACGCGGTGTCTCACTTTCTTTTCTTCCAATGACTTCCGTATCTCTCTGTTTCTTTCTCATTCCTACCAAATCTGTAAATCGTCCCAACCCCCTACTACGCGTCGTTCTCGCTCTTACTTATTATACATACATATATATATCTTTCTCTTTCTTTTATTTTTTATTATTTCTCTCATTATATTCTTTTCATTTGATTTTTATTTTCATATACATTTTTTTCCATATACATAAATTGCACATATTCATATAATGTGCGTTAATAAAAAATATAGTTAGGACAAAAAGAGATTTTGACGTACATATACACACACACATACATACACACATATATATGTATAGGAAATACAAATGTATTTATATGTAAAAGAGAACAAACCGCCCTCAACTTTCCTCGATTTATATATTTGCGTATATATAGTACCAAGCGTACATATATATACACGTGGTAATGTAGAGAGAAGAGTTTCGTCGTTCAGTTAGAGACCATCTATATCCATCCCCGTTATCCATCCCCGTTATCCATTCCCGTTATCCATCCAGTTGTCCAACTATGCAACCCTTGGTACTGGTGCTGCCATCGTTGTCGTCGTAACTGCTACTGCTACTACTGATGCTACTGTTGCTGATGCTGATGCTACTACACTACTACTACTACTACTACTTTTACTACTGATGTTGCTGCAGTTTCTTTAGCCTGAAGCTTAATGAGACACATCTCGAGAAATTGGATAAAGAGCAATTTTCCAAAGGCGAGTCCAAGAATGGGTTAGGAAGGGACGACGGTGGTCTCTCATTCGCTTTCTCATTGCTTTCCACCATCATCGTGTACCTTTTTTCCTTCATTCCTTCATTCGTTTCTTTTTCTGTTCCTCCCTTTTTATCTTTTACCTCTCTTCATCTACTCGACGATAGGATAACGCTCGAAGAAAGAAAGAAGGAACATCCACCCACACTTTCTACGAGCATCACATATATTATATTCCTATAAACGGGTGTGTAGGGTCGCGCCCTTCCAGTACGATGAAATACCAATAGGCGGCAGTAAAGGCGGGGTCTCCCTATCATCTTCTTCTCTTCTCGTATCTTTTTTAATTAACGAGGGATACGCGTATACGGGGACAAAAAAAAAAGACTTTAACGTTATACAAAATGAACCGTACGTTTTCTTACAATATTTGACGTTTAACTTGACAACGACGACGACGATGATGACGAAAAAAGACATCTAGGTAGTAGGACGCGTTACTTCTCAAGAACTCATCTTTTTCTTTCATATATTTTGTTTAAACTCACTTCTTTTAACCCACCTTTTACTTTCTCCTTCTCTCTCATCTTTTTTCTTTATTTTTTATCTTTCTTTTTCTACGTACTTTCGTCTTGCCTCAAATTGTATGCATATATATATATATGGTTTCGTATCTTACAAGCGAGCAAGCAACCCATTCATACGCTTTTCACGTCTCCCGAGATCACCACCTTCCCCCCTTCCAAGAAAATCGGCCATAGAAATTTTACTTACTTCGCTTTTCCACTTTCTACCTGCTAGCAGCAGCAGTCCCCTCCACCACCCCTACTCTTAAACACCCAACCTTCCTCGCTTACTCTCGGTACACCCAATAATCATCCCTATTCGTAGGATAGGTGTTTTCAAATGATGTTTAGAAAAAGAGGCTCAACTAACCACCCACCCACCAACCGCTAAAACCAGCAGCAGGCTTTTGGTCCTTTTTGTTAGCAAGCAAGCAAGCAGAGCCCGAAGTTAAGCATACGAACGACCCTTTCAAACTATCCTTCATCTTCTTCTTCTTCTTCTTTTTCTTCTTCATCTTCATCTTCTTCTTCTTATGCGTCTTCTCTACTCTTCTATTACATCTTTTTCCCTTTTCTGTTTCCTTTACCATCATACTCTTTCCTTCCCTTCCCCATTTCTTTCCGTTTCTCTGTCCTTTTCGAGTCTCGGTGCTTCATTACGATAATCGTGCAAAAGGGATAAGGGTGAAGAAGAAAATAAAAAGAAAAATATAAAATACAGTTGTGAAATTGAATGGAGGACAGAAAATTTTTCTTTTAATTCGCGTCGTTCTTCTTTTCAAGATTGAACGATGACTATAGTTGTGTAACGTAAACGACTAAAATCATAGAGTAACTTCCTTTGAAAAAATAATCTTTTCTTTTAATCATAAACGTTTCATACTTTTATTTCGATTGAAAAGAGATGACGAATTTAATCTTTCAAAATTCAAGATTTCTTGGTATCGTTGAACTGAACTACTAAACTGTTTCGGAAAAAATTCTTTTACCTATTTCAACAAGCCCGCAAATAACACTATTTTCCATCGATTACTATTCTCCTTTCCTCCCCTGGGCATCCTCGAAGACACTGATAGCGTTCGCGAATCGATAAACTATCGATCATTATTGTTCTTACTTACGCGTTTCTCGAGTGTTAAAGTTTGAAAACTATGTACAATGAAAAGTACTTAAGAATATTGTATATAATATATATATATATATATATATATAAAATATAAAATATATGGTTACTCTTTCAAACGTATATGTATATTAATACTTATATACATGCATAAATACATATTATACCTAATACATACATACATATTATACCTATATACATACATACATATATACATACATGGGAGGACGAAGAGAGACGGAAGGTCGTTCGTTCGTTCGTTTATTCGTAGTTCGAGATCGTCCATTCGTGTTATTATTATTATACGCCTTCTTTCGTCTATCGTTCTATTGTTCGTTCTAAAAAAAAAAAAAAAATAAAGAAAAAAGGAAAGAAGAGAAAAAAAGGGCACAAATAAAGAAAATAGAAAAACAACGTGGAAAGGGAGAAAAAAAGAAAAACAAAAGCAAACAAAGTATTACAAGAAACGCGGTCCGTTGTGTTCAGGGTACCACCACCAACATACACAACAGGGTTAGGGTAATAAGTGTGGGGGTTGCTGCTGCATGAGGTGCATTGTTGTGTTTCAGTGCTCGCCTCTATGCCGCCGGGGCTGACCTTCAACTCTCTGAACACCCAGTCGGCGAAGAAGCTGTTCACCTGCCAGCTGTGCGGCAAGGTGCTGTGCAGCAAGGCATCCCTGAAACGCCACGTCGCCGACAAACACGCCGAGCGGCAGGAGGAGTTTAGATGCGTCATCTGCGAGCGAATCTACTGTTCGCGTAACTCCCTGATGACCCATATCTATACCTATCATAAGAGCAAACCCGGCGACATTGACATTAAGCTCTTTTGAAGGTTTAGATAAGGTAGGGACACACGCACGTGCGTTATTGGTTCTCTCAAAAACTCACACGATCTCTCTCTCTCTCTCTCTTTCTTTATCTCTTTTTCTCTCTCTTTATCTATCTTTTTCTTTTTTTTCACATACACATAAATATATATATATATATACACACGCATATATAATACATTTCACTCACGCTATTATATTTACTATACACACATCTTTTTTCTTCTTCTTCTCCTCTTTTCTATATATCTGTCTCTCTCTTTTTTTTTTTTTTTTAATATATTTTTCTCTCTTTATTCTACTTTTTTTTTCTTCACTTATGACACTTTTTTTGAACTTGCTATTTTTCTTCTTCTTTTTTTTCCTCTTATTTGTTAGGAGGGAAAGTAAAAAAAAAAAAAATATAAAGAAATATATGGTGTGTAGTAGGAACACCTTCTCGATTTGATACGACCTCGGCTCGTCGTGCGTTGTTCGTCGTTCCTTTTCACTGATTCTCGAGCTCTCTTTACCAGGAAGTGCATGCCGGAGAGAGAAACCGGTCTCTCAACTCCCACGTGACACGTGAAACACATCGTCTTCTCTTTTCCACTTCTCTCTCTTTCTCTCTCTCTCTCTCTTTCTCTCTCTCCCTTTATCAATGCAACCTCTTTTCTCTTGACGACCCGTTTCTCATCTTCTAACACAACCTTTTCCTTTTCCGTTCTTCTTATTTTTCTTCTTGACTGTCCTTGGCCAGCACCCGGACTCCTTGCAAACCGACACACGATTCGATTATATCTATCTCTTTTTCTCTCTTTCATCTTCTCATCTTCTTTTTCATCTTCATCTTCTTCATCTTTATCTTCTTCTTCCGGTATTACCAGGCCCCGTTATAATATCCCCCCACCCCTTTTCTCGATGACACGAGAAAACATCGTCAACAACATCGTTCTTCTCCTTTCCTTGAAGAGGACGTAGGTGAAGAAGAAGAACGAGAAGGAGGAGGAGGAGGAGGAGATAGTGAAGGTGAAAGAAGAGAAGGAGGAGGAAGAGGAGGAAAAGAAGGTGGAACCGAACAAAATCGGCCAAGGAAAAAGTCGTTAATAAAGCTCAACACACAACGGTTCAAAAGGCGTACCAACCTACCCACATCTAAAACACTGTTTCGTGATTCCTTCCAAAATCTTTTTTTATTTTTATTTATTTTTATTTTTTTTTATTTTTAGCCCACCTTCACAAAAATATAATAATATAAAAGTGATCTTCCTTCGTTTTATATTTCCAACTAACAACTTCTACCTTCCATTCCTTTACTCTTACTCATTTACACTCTCTTTCTTTCTCTCTCTCTCTCACTCACTCACTCACTCTTTTTCTCTCGTTCTGTGTGTCTTTTTTTTACTTTCTCTCTCTTTCTTTTTTCGTTTTTTTTTTTTATTATCTCTTTTGTTACTTTTAATGTCTTGTGTCTCGAAACCCGTTTACTTGTCCGTTACTTTTCTCTTACTTGTGGCTTCGATGTGTCTGCGCTTTCGATATTTTATATTTTTCTTTTTTTCATTTTTTTTTACTTTTTTACTTTTTTTACTTTTTACCATTCTCCTTTTACTCAATTTTATTTCTAATCGTTTTTTCTCTTTTTCTTTTCACAGCAAAGGTCCTTCGTGTTGGGCTTTTTTCGATGTGTCTCCTTCGATGTCGTTTGCATGTTCTCGATATTATTATAATTATAATTATTATTGTTATTATTATTGTTATTTTATTTCTTTCAAACAATGATATCCTAAAAAAAGGATCTTCGAATAATTTTTTGTACGAGATGATTCTCGAGACACGTCTCAAATGCTGCTTCTCGTGGCGTTTAGACAAATTTGTTTTATTTTATTTTTTTTTTATTTGCTTAAAAAATATTCATAGGACGAAGAGATCGTTCGTTTGGTTTTTCTTTTAAATTTTTTGCATGATGTCATCATCATCATCATCATTATCATCACGTGGGGTTGTAAAACTTTAAATGCTTCTCTCATAATTGCATTCAAATTCGTCTCATTATTCATATTTAAATCAAAACATAAAAAAAGGTCATTTTGGGTACGTCATTTTCACGAGGTATCAGTTTTTTTATTTTTTTTAATACTATGTCGAGTTTATAAAGTATGATTTCGAGTTATTTCGATTGATTCATCAGTCACGAATAATTAATATATAATAATAATTTAAATACATACGAAATTCTCATAAGGGAAGAATATCAAGCTTATCGCATGACGGTTTTTGGCCCTTAACTTTTATCACTCTCGACTAATATTACGAGACACACATACACATACACACAGACACAATTAATTACATTTTTGGTGATTCGGTCAATTAATCTCGAGAATCACGCGAATACAGGAGCCGAGGAGGTGGTCATTTCGAGAAATGGTTTCTTATCAATCAACCAATTATAGAATGAAATATCCGAATTCTATCGAACGTTCAAGAGAGTTTCTTTCTATCTCTATATATTTCTCTTTCTCTGTCTTCTATTATTTCTTTCTTCTTTTCGTTAGTCGATAAGCCGAACGTTCGATAGAAAAACGGATCTTCTATAGGAAAATAATTAGAATAAACAACCGTAGTAGCACAAAATATTGAAAAATATTGAATACATGTGTACTTAATATTAAAAAAAGATTTAATGTCTTTTTAATATTAAATACACATGTATTCAATATTTTTCAATATTTTGTGCTATTAGGGAACAACAAACAAAAAATTTAATAAAATAAAATAAAAAATGTTGTCTTGTCTTTTAGGATAAAGAGGTGAAATTGCAAAAAAAGAAAGAAAATAAAAAAAAAAGAAAAAAGATATTTCATCCTATCGATGACAATACATTTGTGACGTGATATCAAATATAATTTAATAAAACGATGACGGACGATTTTGCAGGTACGGGCAATGGGATGCATCCGGCAGCGACTACGCCTCCCTCTGCCATGTACCGGATACCACCGCCGACAGCGGGGGGTATAAATGAGCCTCAGGAATGCCCGTACTGCCGTCGCACCTTCTCCTGCTATTACTCCCTGAAGCGTCATTTTCAAGACAAACACGAACAAACGGACACCCTATTTGTTTGCGAGTTCTGCAATCGTCGTTATCGAACGAAAAATTCACTTACGACGCACAAGAGTCTTCAGCATCGCGGCTCGAGCGGCATGTTGAAGAGGCTACTCAAGACATCAGCCATGAAGAACGTCTTAGGTAGCATGCAACAGGCACATCAACAGTTGCAGCAACAGCCGCAATGAAAATGGCCGAATTTAATAATAGATCATCAACAAGCTCCTGTTGTTGTCTCACGCCGCCGGTTACTTTCATCTAATCTTGATGATCATCCTCCTCCTCCTACTACTCCTCCTACTCCTCCTCCTCCTCCTTCTCTTCATTCTCCTAATCCACCTGATCCTAATTTTTCTTATCCTTTAGATCATTCTCTACTTCTACCTCCTCAAAATCTTTCATCTAATCGATACCATCGTCAACATCATTATTATCATCAATATCATCAATATTATCATTATCATCATTATCATCATTACCGTCATCATTATCATCATCATCGTTATTATCATCGTCATAGACAGCAACGTGCCGTACCATCATCACCACCTCCTAATCCCTTATATTCATTATCTTCTCCAAATTTTGTCCATCTACATCCTGAAGACTGCGACAAATCCAAAGAAGAACGAAGAATCGACTGATGAAAAAAAAAAGCAAAACGATAAATTTATCATTGGAGAATCTACTCACCCCCGTCGTCTGCTCTTTTTTGTGTTCTTCGAAAAATGTTATATTACGAATATTATTAATTTTTCTTCGTTTTTTTTTTTTTATAATTGAGAAGGAAAGTAAGGAAGAAAGAAAGAGTGAGAAAGAAAGAGAGGAGGAAAGATAACTTAGAGATAATCTCGTGTGAAAAACGATCGAAACATTCCAACGATAAGAAAAAAAAAAAAAAAGGGAAAAGGTACGAAGAATTGTTCGTTTACATGATTAATAATATCCTGTGAAAAAGTTTTTTTTTACGCAGAAAAAAAAAAAAAGGGCACAGGCCGGTGGCAAGAGATGATATGATCAGTAGTGTTGTTGATCTTAAAAAAAAGGGGGAGGGGAAAAGCACGTGTTTCTCGAGTATATCAACCCTCTCCTTTCGTACGTGTTCCGAACGCTTTCTCCATATTGTTTTCGTATACGACAAAGGTGGTGTTACATTATTCGTCTGTTTGCGCGTTGGAATGATCTCTCGAGAGGAGAGGGGGATCGGGGCATCATCATCGAGTGAGAGAATGCGAATGAGAATGAGAATGAGAATGAGAATGAAAATAAGAATGAGAATGAGAGTGAGAGTGAGAAAGTAATAAAAAATAATAAAAGTGAATATAAGGATGATAAGTAAAAGGAGAGACGGAGACACAAAACACACTAACACACACACACACACGTGTTTATGTTGTATATAAAAATGATTAAAATAAGGCGTGTTAATGCTCAAACAAAAACAAAATAAAAAAGGGAAGCAAAAAGCCCTTTGCGCGTCTTCGACTCTCGTGAGAAAAAAAAGGGATAAGGAAAATAATAAGATAAAGGGAAACTTACTCCTCGTGTATTATTATGTCTAAATGTGTGTATAGATATATGCTATAGCAGAAAGTGTGTATGTACACGCGTGTACAAGTTGTGTATAAGGGGTAAATCGCGCATTATTAAAACGTTTCGTATATATATATATATACATTGATGAAAGCCGTGAGAAGTCGTCCGCGCGCCTTGACAAAAAGGAATACCGCTAAGATCTTACGGCCTAATAAAATGAGAAAGAAATTCGATTATACTAGATGAGGAAAATCTATTATTAGAGACACCGTCTTATCGTAATATCGAATTGGCAGAAACAAAATTGACGAGGGGGTAGGTTTGAGTAGTAGGAGGAGTCCATGAAAAAGAATATGGGTAGGTAGGCAGGAGTAAATCTAAAAGAAAAATAACAACATAATGGGGCTTGTTGCTTCGGGAAATAATTATTAAAGTAGCAGGAGAGATTTGTCAAGTATATTATGGACTTTTAAGAAGAAAAAAATAAACAAACAAACAAACAACGCGCGTGTTGTACAGGTTCCGCGTGCAAATTGCAAAACTATATTTTTAGCTCTTTAAAAATGATATTTTGAGCTGTATATATACATACAGATACACATACATACATGCACATACATACATACATAAACATATTTTATTCGTACGATAATATTTGATGATAACGATAATATTATTCTCTTGTTCAGGTTTTATAAAAACGAAGTAGTTTGACTTAAGACAGATTGCAGGCAGGCAGGTAGGCAAGCAAGTAAGCAGACTAATTATATAGGCAGGTAAAAGGCAGGGCAGTGACGGCTCTCGCGTTTTCCAATTATCCGATTATTTTATTATCATCAATCCGATATATATCTTTATCGTTGATTTTTATTGGCGAATGTGCAATATATTTTCTTGTAACAGAAAATCGTGTTATAATAGTAGAATATCCGATCTCTCTCAGAGATTTCTTTTCAAACAACGCGAATATTCATTATTTTGGAACGGTACGGTACGCGGAAAGAAAATAATTGACTTGTTATATATATATATATATATCCTTTCTTCTTTCCATCCTTCCTTCCTTCCTTCCTTCCTTCCTTCCTTTCTTCTCTCTCTTCGTCGTGTTTCGTTACTCGATCGTTCGAATTATCTGAATTATAATAATTCGATAAGTCCGAAGAATAAAGTTCATTTGAAAAAAGTTTATATAAATCCGGACTTTTAGGCGGCCGGAAACGGGGTTTACGATGATACTCGATGGTGAAACGAAAAAAAAAAAAAACAAGTGCGAGACAATCAAACACTGCCCTGTTGTTAAAATCTTTAATTAATACATCCATTAACTAACGAACGTACAATTTAAAAAAGGAACCCTAAAAGTTGTTCATCGCAACATATTCAGGTCTGTAACTCAGCATAGGAAGAATAAAAAATAATAATAATAATACAAAAAAAAAAAAGAAAAGAATTGATGTTTTTAGCATAAGAGAAATAATAAGAAGAAGAAGAACAAAAAAAAAAAGATGATAAAAATAAGAGAAAAAAAAATAAATAAAAGGAAAATGCCATTTTATGACTAAAAAAAAACGAGCAAGTACAAATTATCGAGAAAATAAAAAATAAAAATAAAAAAAAGAAATAAAAAAGAAACAAATTAAGAGAAATTACGTCTACGTGTAACATATTAAAATAGGGGGCATTGTTTCCCGTAGCATAAACGGGGACATGTGTGTGACGAGATTGATTATTATGATGAAAATATATAGGTAGAAATTAGTTTCGTCTTCTCGAGTTTATTGACGATTGCACAAAAATTAAATTTAACGAAGAAGAACGAATTTTTCAAACATATCTTTGAAACGTGAAGTATACTGTGGATAATATATACGACTTTTTAGATTCTAGGCGACTCTTCAGAGCGATTTAAAAAAAAAAAAACAAAAAACAAATTTGGTGTATACATTTTAGAGATAAAATCTCCTTAGTGCATGGTCAAAGCATAATGTGGATTAAAAGCTGTGGGGTGATGAAAGGCTTAAAACGTCGTAGTTTTTTTTTTTTTTTTAATTACATTTATTTTTCTTTTCTTTGTTTTAATTTTTTTTTGGTTTTTATTCTATATATATATATTTAATATCATTTTACTTCTTTTTCTAGTTTCGGAGTAAAATAATATATTTAAAAAAAAAAATAAAAATACATAAAGGGAAAAGCCAGTTTTTTTTTTTCGAAAACTCCAAAACCTGAGAAACAAAAGAAGCACGAAATTTATTAGTGAAAATGAACCTAGTCATTTCTGGGAACTCTTGAGATTCTGTGATATCGGAGGATGATGAAAATCGATTTTAATTATCATTGCATGGGTAAAAAGAAAAAAAAAACGTTAAAAGAAGAAGAAATGAATGAGAGAACGAATGAAGAAAAAAAAAAATATAATTATATTATACACATGTGTCTCACGTGATATTCCACATTATGATTGCCGGTGTATTATTTATATAAGGAAAATAATAATTAAAAATAACAAAAAAAAAAAAAAAGAAAAGGTATATAAGATCAATAATATTATAATTGGTTATTAATAATATCGAGAAATTCTGTGATGTTCTTCGGTTGACTTATATTAGAAAGGATAGTAGGAATTAATATGAAACCTTCTGGGAGGGGGAGGGAGTTAAAGGAGGGGGTGGTAAAAGGAGGCAGGGAGTAATAAGAAGAAAAAAAAAAATAAAAAGTATACGGAATTATGTCGATGTTCAGTGTCGTGTAAATTAATTGTAAAAGCCGAGATGAGACTAATCTATATGGAGAGGTTTTTTTTTGTATTGTTTTGAATTTGTTTTTTTTTTTTTCGTTGTACTTTCTCTCTCTCTCTCTCTCTCTCTCTCTCTCTCTCT